GGCTCAGGGGTCCAAGATTATCTTCTGTGTCTGTGTTAATTGGTTTCCCTTTTCTTTGTTGAAGAGGGTCTGTGCAGTCCTTCTGCCTAGTCTGCCATCTTACCGGAACTCGTGTCCTACATTTTTAAATAGAAACTAAAGATTCAAGGTGCTCTAAATGATAGGAATTTTAAGCCTCAGATTTGTTGTTAATGTTGTTGGGTGCCATCTAGTTGGCTCTGACTCACGATGATCCTATGTACAACAGAACGAAACACTGCCCAGTCCTGTACCACCCTCACAATCATTGCTATGGTTGTGCCCATTGTTACAGCCACTGTATTAGTCTATCTTCTGTGAGGGTCTTCACTTTTCACTGACCCTCTACTTTACCAAGCAAAATGTCCTTCTCCAGGGATGGTGCCTTCGGACAGCATGACCAAAGTAGGTGAGACAAAGACCAGGCATTCTCAGTTCTAAGGAGCATTGTGACTACACTTCTTCCAGGACAGATTTGTTCTTTCTCCTGGTATTTCATGGTATTTGCAGCATTCTTCACCAACACTACAATTCAAAGCATCAACTCTTCTTCGATCTTCCTTATTCTTTGTTTAGCTTTCACAAGCTTATGAGGTGATTGAAAATTCTATGCCTTGGGTAAGGCATACCTTAGTCTTCAAAGTGACATCTTGGCTCCTTAATACTCATTCAAGACGTCTTTTGCAGCAGATTAGCCTAGTGCAATAGGTGTCTGATTTCTTGACTGCTGCTTCCGTGAGTGTTGATTGTGGATCCAAGTAAAATGAATCCCTGACAACTTCAGTCTTTTCTCCATTTATCATGATATTGCCTATTGATCCAGTTGTGAGGATTTTTGTTTTCTTTGTGTTGGGGTGTAATCCATATTGAAGACTGTAGTCTTTGATCATCAGTAAATGCTTTAAGTCATCTTCACTTTCAGCAAGCAAGCTTGTGTCATCTGCATATCTCAGGTTGTTAATGAGTCTTCCCCTAATCCTGATGCCACATTATTCTTCATATAGTCCAGCTTCTCAGATTATTTGCTCAGCATATAGATTGAATAAGTATGTTAAAAGGATAGAGCCCTGACATACACCCTTACTGATTGTAAACCATGCAACATCCCCTTCTGTTCAAACAGCAGCCTCTTGGTCTGTGTACATGTTCCTCGTGTACAATTAAATGTTCTAGAATTTGCATTTTTCACAATGTTATCTGTAATTTGTTATAATTCTCATAGTTGAATACCTTTGCATAGTCAATAAAACAAAGGTAAACATCTTTCTGTTATTCTTTGCTTTCAGCCAAGATTCATCTAACATCAGCAATAAAATCCCTTGTTCCATGTCCTCTTTTGAATCTGGCTTGAATTTTTGGCAGTTCCCTGTCAATATACTGCTGCAACCATTTTTGTATCAGCAGAATTTTAACTTCTTGTGATATATTAATGATATTGTTCAGTAATTTGTGGTATATAGTTAAATTTAAGAATTTTATATGACATTTAATATTTTATCATTTATCATTCTGTTTTTTAAGCTTATTTGTAAAGTGGAAGTATGATAATATGGAACTCAGAATCCAAAGTCATTTTAGGAAATACTGGAAATAACATAGGATTTCTGTAGGATAGAAATCAAGAATCTCAAGTGAGCTGAATCAGGTAGCCCTATACAAAAAAATGATCATGATTTCCTGTTGTTGAATGTGTTATCTCAGTGGTGGGGCTGGGTTTGCACTGATACATTTTTCCTAAATTCCTGGCGACACACTCATAAACTGGTTTGCTCGGTAGGTCAGGGTATAGTGTGTAGTCGTGAAACAGAAGGAGGGGAAGAGCACCCAGGGGAGTCAGCTTCTGGCTCTCATTCATCAAACATTTACTGGCTGCATCCTGTATCCTCTGAACGCAAAGTGCTGTCCGGGCTTCACTGAGTTCCTGCCACTTCTTAGCGGCTGATTGGTGACTGTTCTGACCTTAAAAAGACCTTGGAAAGAACAGTCGATAAGGTGCCTCAGTTGCTTGCCATTTAATAATGACTGTGGAAAAGAAGAATAAACCTGTTTTTTTACTGTAATTGGAATTATCACCAGTTCTGAAACTTTGGCTTTTAATTATTGAGGGAACTTGACATGTTTTTATTTTCCAAATATGAATTTCGTATTAAAATGTAATAAAACATTAATGCAGAGTTAACCAATTCAGAATTTGTAATAATTAAAAATATAACTGGTATCATTATCACTTAAGGAAAACAAAAATAAACTCCCTGCCATGGAATTAATTCTGACTCATAGTGACCCGCATTGGGTTTCTGAGGCTGAAATCCTTACATAAGATCACCCTATAGTCCTTCCATGGAGTAGCTGGAGGATTTGAACCACTGACCTTCTGGCTAGCAGCCAAATGCCTATCCACTGTGCCACCAGAGCTCTTTTCACTTAAGAAAGAATTTACAAATATGCAGTATAAATCAGGGGAAAACTCACATGTTATTTTTATATACATACTTCTCACTTATCAACTATCTCATTATCTGACATTTTGCATTTATGACAGTAGTAAGAAATCTATTATCCAAGTATTTTACATATTAATGTATGTCTGGCATAAATTCCAAGATGGCAAAATGAGAGTAACACTGACTGTAATGGTTAAGGTTATGTGTCAACTTGGCTGGGCCATGATTCTCAGTGGTTTGGCAGTTATGTGATGATGAAATTTGGTAGTTAGTAACCATCAGCATCCTCCATTTCGTGATCTTTTGTGCTCATCCTCCATTTCGTGATCTTACGTGGTCATCCTCCATTTTTGCATAACAGCGATTTTCACATAATGACCAGATTTTTGGAAACCAACCATTTCAGTAAGTGAGAAGTGAGTGTAGTTAAGATGATAAACATTGCACATATTTTAATATGGATATATAAATATATTTTAAGACACAATTGAATAGCATTATGAGTTTCTGCCTTTGCCACTATTGGTTCCATGACTGTATAATTTTCTGGGTTTTATTTTCTACTTCTATACCATGAAGAAATGTGCCAGAGTGGTCTCTTAAAAGTCAGTCATAATTCTTGTAAACTTTGGTGATTCTGAATCACCAAATTTCTGAGCTGAACTACTATTAAAAAAAAAGCACATCATAGAACATTTGAGATAGCGTTGAATTTGTACCTGTTAAAGACTATTACTATTTAAATGTGACTATTATTTAAAATGTGATTTACTCAGAATAACTTATCCCCAGAGTTACAAATTTGTATAGTTTTATTATGTTTGATTTATACTAGGACTTTAAGTACTAAAAAAATAGTAGAGAAAAGTGATTTGTTAAATAAATAAAACTAGGATTTCACTCTTTGTACAGTATATAAGTATTTTGCTTGGACTACCAAAAGGAAAACTTTCCTTGAAAAGATATTTGTCAGATTAATACTTTGGATAATCTGAGCATTAGGCTGTTCTGGGTACACTATGAAAATCCATTTATCATACACTGTTGTTTTGGAGTAAGCCCTTGTCCGTGTATTGTAAGATTTATGAGTCTTATGCAAGATGCAATTGGTACTTTATTACTGTGTTGTAAAAATTGGTATTGTGATAATCTTCATTGAAATATAGCCATAGATTAAGGTGATTTCCATAAACCAGTATTTGTTTTGCTAGTGTCAACTTTTCCTTTCAAAATGTATACTTAAAATATGTGAAATTGCCTGATAGTAGCCATTATGGGGATTTAATTGAATTCTTGTTTCAAGTCATGTTTTTCCCTCCCCGCCACAGGTTAAAATTTTGTGTCACCAGTTGCTGGTCCAGGTGTGTGACCTGCTCAGGCTAAAGGACTGTCACCTCTTTGGACTCAGTGTCATACAAAGTAAGTCTCTAGTCTCATCACTAATGGTGTTCTCTGAGGAAATGACATTTTATACATACTGTAACTTAAATCAGGCATACTGCTATAAAATTGTGATTGTTAGAATGCCTGTAAAGTGATCATAGTTTTCAGTATGGTATTCATTTTTAATCTCAACTATTATATATTTCTTACACTATTCAGGATTTTAAATCAGATATTTAAACATTAATCCTTAAAAATTAATTCTTCAGTAATCTGGATTTTCTATGTTTTCAATAATCAAGCTTGACTTTTTTTGTTTCTTTGTATTCAGAGGCCAGCAGGAGCTATTAAGAAAGTATCCTGAATGTTTTTGTAATTTAATTTGTTTCATAATTTTTGACATTAAAAAGAAGTTTAAACACAATAAAACTGACTTTTCTGTATTCAAATTATCTTGCTATTTACTAGCTAACAAAATGATCTATTAATTTATTCTTCTTTCTGTTTTTCTCCTAGTACCCCTTGTCTTTCTTCCCAGTCAGACAGTGACTTGGAAATATGGGGTCAGTTTCTTCTGTATACTTTATTTGAAGATGATTTTCAAATAAAGACTCTGAGTCAGCTTTCTCCTCCCTAACTCCTCAGTCAGAGTTAAATTCCCAGGGTTTGTCTGTAGCTGTTCTTTATGAGCTTTCTTCTTTCAAATCATAGTTTAAAATTTCTCCAGTTGGTTTTGTCTTCTAAAAAGTTTCCTTGGCTCTCTTCAGTTTGTTAAGAAGATCCTTTTTTTGAAGTCTTTTCAAACATATTTTATACTTTAATTTATTTTCTGCTATTTAAATTTGAAATCTTGAGAATCTGGTTGATACTATAAACTGCTTAGGTCTGACATGCTGGGGAGTGCATCATGATCAGTTAATAAACAAGGCCTTCCCTACACAAGATGTGAACCATTTTCAGTTTCCTTTTTAGGAGAAGCAAGGCAACGTGGAACTGGGGGCATGACAGAATGCTGTTAATCAGCCATTTGTTCTTCAGTTTCTTCCTGTGGTAGTTAAAGCAATAAAAACACAAATGCTAAGCTCCATCCTTGTGTTAGTACGTATCTCAGTGATCCTTGCAAAGAAGGACCTAGGAGCAATAAGATACCCACTAGATTGTAAATAATTTTCCTTTTGTTGTTCTATACTCATAGTTAATTCTTCTAACTAAATAGATTGTAGTGGGAAGAAAGAACATTGGAATAAGAATTATATGACCTGGTTCTAATTCTCGTTCTATGACTAACTAGCTCTGTCGCTTTGGACATATCACTTGACTTCTCTCAACTTCAGTTTTCTCATATTTCAAATAGAAATTAATGCTCTGCCTGGTTTGCAGGATTGATGTGTATTTGAGAATTCTTAAAAGTATAAAATTCAGGTCACAGTATCAGGTGGTAGAGACACAGTAGTAGTTTTAAAAATATATATGTGCCCTTGTGGTGAACAGTCTTAATGCTGTTTACAGTGCTCCCTCTTTAGGTGGGAATTCAAGCCAAATTATAAATCAGATTCAACAGGAAGGTTGTCTGGCCCTGTCCATTTCATGTTTATCGGTGAGAGATGAGAGATAAGTTTTGGTTGACCTGATGAATGAATTTAAGTAGCATCCTCTTCTTTTTTTCTTTTTTAATATCTCTGAGCCTTCTTCCTTATCTTTCAAATTGCTTGGCTTAATATGCCATTTATAGCCAATGAATAACCCTTCCTATTCTCTCATGGTATTTTTCTAATCAAACCCCAGGATTCAGTCTGAACTTGACAGTGTAGTCAAGTGTGTTATCCTTAGAGTAGTCAAAAGGCCACACTTCCTTTTAGAAAAGTACATTTACATTTTTATACAAATTTTTCCAGGGGGATGGAGGATATCCCCTTTGACATGGTGGTGGTGGTGGTGGTGGTTGTCTTGTGCCATCAAGTCGTCTCTGACTCATAGCGACCCCTCCTTAGGTTTCTGAGGCAGTATCTCTACAGAAGTAGATTGCCCCTTCTTCCCTCCGAAGAGTGGCTGGTGGGTTTGAACCGCCAATCTCCTGGTTAGCAGTCAAGTGCCTTAGGCACTGCATCACCAGAGCTCCTCATGGTTAGGAAAGTAGAAAAAAAGGAATAGCTTTTTAGAAAAGATTATAAATGTATTGTCCAAGGTAAGAATGCTGAAGGCATTTCTTGTGAAATGCGTCTCTCTTTAAAAGATTCTCTTTGGGAAATCAGACATTTTTAAATACTTTTTATCAGCTTGTTTTCAGGTTCAGGTCATTTTTATATGGTTTTAGCAATCTTACCCTTCTGAACACCATTCCCTTGAGGAAATACTTTGTGCATTGTTTATGCTTGTTTTTCATAAGATTCTTCTCCTCTTCCTGTGAGATAGGAGACTTAATGGCACAGTAGTTAAACACTCCGTTGTTTAAGGGTTGGTGGTTCAAACCCACCAACCACTCCATGGGAGAAAGATGTAGTGGTCTGCCTCCATAAAGATTTACACCCTTAGAAGCCCTATGGGGCAGTTCTATTCTGTCCTGTAACATCACTAGGAGTCAGAATCGACTTAAAGGCAATGGCTTTGAGTTTGGCTTATGGGTGACATGCGATCAACCACAAAGGCAATGCAAGTAATGTTTTACCATTTTACCACTCTGTTTTCAGGTAGAGAACACAGAGACGGAATAGTGGGAAGGACCTTCTGTTCTTCAGAAAGTGTGGTTTAGGCTCTCACTTGAAAATGGGCTCTTTTATCAGTGTTTTCTAGCAATTAAGATGGTATTTCTGTCCTGTTTTATAGTTTTAATCTATGACAAGTCTGTGAGCTAAACAGAAGGATTTTTTTTTTCACCCTAAGACTAAGGTTCCCTCAGCGTTGGACATTAGACTACAGGTTAAACTGATTCTAGAAACTAGGAAAAAGCAAGGGAAACTTTTATTTTAAATTTTACATATTTTTAAATGGTATCTATTATGTATTGTAAAAGCAACATAATTCATAAAATATCTCAATATCTAGCAGACAGACCCTTTTATTTTTTTAGTGTATTGTTGAGTTTTTGAAGTGCATTCACAAAGCTTGAGGCTTTAAAAAAAACTTGTTTCTTATATTCTTTTCTTTTTAAAATGTCTGTTTTTTATTTTCTTGTCTCCTTTTTTCTAAATTTATAGATAATGAACATGTGTATATGGAGTTGTCACAAAAGCTTTATAAATACTGTCCTAAAGAATGGAAGAAAGAGGCCAGCAAGGTACGCCAATACGAAGTCACTTGGGTGAGATTGCATTTATGAGCAAAATTATTTTAATTAAAAAAAATGTTTATTTTAACTATTATATGTTAGAAAAAGTTTTAACACTGTTGTTATTCAATGCAGAATGAGAAAGGGAAATAAATTCTAATATGTCATATTAATCAAGTATGAATAGCTTATAGCATATAACAATAGATTTCAGATATCTGGTAAAATAATGTTGGGTAATAACTTTTTAGTATTCTTGAAATAATGTTTTAAAGTGAAAAATCAAGGAAGATAAAATAAGTCAGTTGTCAAAACTGATGCTCTAGAAGTTATAAATAATTTTTTAAATCAACTTTTACTATGCTTGCATATGATACTTTATTATTTTATTGTAACTGTTGGTTTTATTTAGTAAACATCAACTCTATTTACACCTATGAGTATTCATGGGGAGTTTACATAGCATTTCCAGGATCAGCCTAGTAAGCCAGGAATAAAACCAGTATCTAATCCTAGATCCTCTAATTTGTATTTAAGAATTCCTGGAATAAGCTGAAAGACTACTTCAAAGCTAACTACAAAGTAAGGAACATGAATGTCTGAATAAACAAACAGCATTTTAGAATTTGGTATGTGGAATGTCAGAGGAACAAGAGAACATTTGTAATAAGGAGCAAATGGTCACCACAGGGGACAGAGCAGTAAGAGGACCTGGATCTCAGCTAGAAATTTCTACTGGCATTTATTTTTATCTTCCCTTATGTTGTCGTTGGCATTACAGTGAATGAGAATCAGATAGGGTGATGGTGCCCATTTTGCTTATAAGTTCCTGGTTTTATGTGGACCTAGTATCCATATGGGAGCTCTGGTAGCATAGTGCCTAGGGCATTTGCCTGCTACCCAAAAGGGTGGTGGTTCAAACCCACCAGCCACTCTTCGGAAGGAAGGTTGAGCAATCTACTTCGTTGATACCACCTCAGAAACCCAAGGAGGGGTCGCTGTGAGTCAGGTCTGACTCTATAGCACATAACGACAACAACGGTATCCATACGGGACAACTGTCTACCTACTATAAGCCCCCACTCATTAGAAATGGATAGACCTTTCAGTGTTTAAATGGTATCTTTCAAATAATGGTATTGTGGTTGTTTTTGAAACCCATTTTGAAGTAGCCAAAATTAGCTCCATTTATTTACTTTGTGTGTGTGTGTGTTCCAATAAAACAATATTAAAAACAGCTTCATTTTAAAGTATGTATTTGTTTTAGGGTATTGACCAGTTTGGACCTCCTATGATCATCCACTTCCGTGTACAGTACTATGTGGAAAATGGGAGATTGATCAGGTATGAGGAGAGGGAGAAAATCTAAACTTTTTTCCCCTAATGCTTATGTTCTTTCTAACATAGGAAATAAGTTACTTATGTTTATTTGTTTTCGCTTGCTAGAATATAAATTCCATGTTGTTGTTGTTGTTAAGTGCCATCGAGTCATTTCCGACTCATAGCGACCCCATGCACAGCAGAACGAAACACTGCCCGATCCCGCGCCAGCCCCACAATCCCTGCTATACTCGAGTCCATCATCGCAGCCACTGTGTCAATCCATCTCGTTGAAGGCCTCCCCCTCTTTCGTCGACCCTCCACCCTACCAAGCATGACATCCTTCTCCAGGGAATGGTCCCTTCTTACAACATGACCAAAATAGGTGAGACGAAGTCTGGCCATTCTTGCTTCCAAGGAGCATTCTGGCTGCACTTCCTCCAGGACAGATCTGTTAGTTCTTTTAGCAGTTCAAGGTACTTTTCAGCATTCTTCGCCAGCACCACAACTCAAAAGTATCAACTCTTCTTCAGTCTTCCTTATTCATTGTCCAGCTCATAAATTCCATAAGAGCAGGGATTTTTGTTTTTAATATTTTTGTATTCAGACATATCCTTAGTCCCTAAAACAATAGGCACTCAGTAAATATTTGTTGAATGAATGGATAAATGACTGAAGGATGATATTACTTTAAATGGAAATGTTAACCATGTCACTGGCTCACATTTTCTGTATTCCAAATTTTTAATGACAAATGAGGCACTAGAAAGATATTTCTTCCAAGAAGGAAGTAACGTATGTAGAGTAGAAAAATTGGTTAAAGGATTATATTCTTTTCCTGTGGCAGGTGAGGCAGGGGCGGGGGCAGGAACCCTCTCCTATAAATTGCACAGTATTTGTAGAGCCTAGTTTTCTTTCTCCATTTGGGGTATTGCTTCCATTCTTGGCAATAGCTTAAAGCTAAAATTAAGACCAATGGAGCTGTCCTATGAGATGCTTAGATGCAGTTTGACAGTGGCAGGTCATTGACTTTTGTTCTAGAGGTGGGTACATGAGCAATATGTGCATGATACATATTCAGAATATACTGTTTGAAGAGTTCAATTATTTGTTTGTATGAGCTCTGGTGGTGCAGTGGTTAAATGCTCAGCTGCTAACCAAAAGTTGATGGTTCAAATCGACCAGCTGCTCAACAGGAGGTAAGATCTGGCAATCTGCTCTCATAAAGATTATAGCCTAGAAAATGGAGGAATAGGCAGACAAGCTACACAGACCCTCTTCAACAAAGAAAAGAGAAACCAATTGACAGAGATACAGAAGATAATCCTGGAGCCCTGAGCTTTGAAAGGAACTATACAGGAGTGAATTAGGCACCAACTAGTGGAAAAACCTGAATGAAAACAGTACGCAGATGGTCAGAGCAGTAAGTTCTGACAGGACCAATAGCCTGAATATTTCCAGGTGGCATTGGAACCTGAAAATTGACCTAAAGATCAGCCCTGGTCACCAAGGGCTGCAGGGACGAATGTGCTAGTAGCCTATGACTAGGAAGGGAAACGGCAAGGAGGGAGACAACCTGAGCTGTGGACTTTTGGCAGTCCAGAGGGCGCAGTCATTTTGAATGTTTACAAGCAGTGGCCATTTTGGATTTTAAAGTGACAGCATTCTTATCCAGATTGCAGGGACCTAAGAATAGGCTCCATTTGCCAAGGACAGCAGGGACATACAGGAGGCAGACAATGGGAAAGGAGACAGGTGATGAGAGTATAATTGCTGCCAACTAGCAGATAGAGGTGCACAGCACAGTACCATGCTTATGTAGATAACATACAAACAAAACAAAACAAAACTAAAATCATGAGCAAGTCACTCCAACATACAATCACCAATTAAATATAAAAACAAAAATGTCACAATGCCTCGGAGACAACAGAGCATCACAGTCCACACAAAGAAGCAGGATAAACCAGGAAAAACAAGAGACCAGGATACAGACCCAAAACGAATCCCTAAGGAAGAAGCAGCATTGGAACTCCCTGATAAAGAAATTAAAAGAATTGTATGTAGGTGCGTTCAACAAATTGAGAGACAGATTAAGGAAAACACTGACAAAATTGAGGGAAACACAGAGAAAACCCTAGAACAATTTCAAAAGACGATACAAGAACAGAATGACAAAATAAATGAAAAATTAGAAATGATAAAAAATCTACAGATAGAAATCCAGAAGATTAATACTAAATTTCCAGAAATACATAACACATTGAATGGACAAAGGAGTAGAATTGAATCAATGGAAGACAGAATTAATGAGATTGAAGGCAAATCCCTCGATACTTCTTTGAAAAGGGATCAGTCTGAAAAAAGATCAGAACAAAATGAAGAAACCTAAGGTTCATGTGGGATGCCATCAAAAGGAATAACCTATGTGTCACTGGAATTCCAGAACAGGAAGAGACAAATAAAACCACAGAAAAAATTGTCCAAGATTTATTGGAAGAGAATGTTCCTGGTATGATGAAAGATGAGGGTATATCCATTCAAGAAGTCCAACAAACCCCAAAAAGGATAGACCCCAAAGGAAAATCACCAAGACATATCATCAGACTCACCAAAACAAAAGACAGAGAATCCTGAAAGCAGCACAGGAAAAACGAAAAGTCACCTACAAGGGGCAACGAATAAGACTAAGTTCGGATTTCTCGACAGAAACCATGCAGTCAAGAAGACAATGGAATGGTATATATAAAACCCTGAAGGAGAAAATGTTCAACCAATAATCGTATACCCAGCAAAATTGTCCCTCGAATATGATGGTGAAATTAGGACATTTCCGATAAGTGGAAATTAAGGGAATTTGTTAAAACCAGACCAACCTTACAAGAGATGCTAAAAGGAGTCCTTTGGACAGAACCAACAACAGCAACAGTAACTGACCATTAACACACATGATGACATAAGCTAGAAGCCAACCCAGTCATAGAACTATCCAATGTAAATAAGCCTACAAGATTGTAAACAGGGAACTAGAGACATCAATTGACAAATGAGGACAACTACAAACCAAAAAGAGGGAAAAAAAATATGTAGTTACAGAACTTCTAAATGGTAGGGAAGTCAAGACAACTACAAGAGAGAATGGACTTCTAAACTTGGGAAGAAAACTATAAATCACATGCTGTTCTGGTTACCTAGTGCCATTATGAGAAGAATATACCACAAATGGGATGCTTGAAAAAACAGGAGTTTATTCTCTTACAGTTTGGAGGCTTTAAGTCCGAGTTCAAAGTGCCAGGCTCTAGGGGCTGAGTGAAAGCCCCTCAATCTTGGCTTCAGCTCTGCCTCCTGCTCCCAGCCACTGAGCTAGAGGTTTTTCTTCACTCAGCTGCTGGCTGCTGAGACTGACAAGCCCAAGGTTGATAAGTAAAAAGGCATAGTCTTGATGTTACCAATCACACAGCAGGCCACTAATTCAAGTCCATTGACAATCCCAAGGTTGGCAGAGCATGGCAGGCTACTGAACAACGACACAGCTACATGAAGGGTTCAAGTGTGCCATAAACTAGAGACCATTCCCAAAGCTGTTTCTTATATACGGGAAGCAGACCACATATCCAAAGGCAGCTACTCAGCTGCTCCAATAGATTCCACCATGGAGTTAATTACCAATCTCACCATGGGGAATTACTACATTCAGCTGCCCAGCCACTCAACCAGGCCTACCTAGCCAAGTTGACACACAAACTTAACTACCACAATTCCACCCCTTGTCAACTTGGCACCTGTACAAATCTTCAGTGGGTGGTATCTGTAGATATCTCTTCATGGGGTGACTCCAGTCCCGTAGTTCCTGAGTGGCGACCTCACCCCCTTGGCCTGGTGGGCCCCATTCCTCTCCCTCTTGGGCATGGCAGCCCTGCCCCCTCAGACTTGGGCAGTAGCTATGACTCCATTCCACTGGCTCACATGAACGAGCAGTCCCACACTCCAGAACCAAGTTGGTGAAGGTTTGGCTCTCTGAAACCTAAGGGGCTGTGGTGGTTCCACCCCCAAAGGCCATGGTCCTACCCTTTCAGGCTGAGGCAGCTCTGCTTCCCATTTCCGTGGTCTCTCTGCTTCTGCTAATTAATGCCCCAAGGCAAACCATTCCTCTGGAAATCTTAATGCCCAAAGGACACCTAGCTTTCTTGCTCTGTGAGCTGGCCAACCTGCTATTCTATTTCATGCTGGTCTCTTCTACCAATTAATGCCCAAAGGCAACCCACTCTGCCAGGAAGCTGCCTGAGCAGTGGCACCCAGCTTTCTCCTCCGTGGACTGGTAAGCTGTTGCTATTTAATGCTGGTCTCTGGGTCTGCTACTGCCATCTCTCATGCAGGTCTCTCTGCTGGTATCTCTCTGCCAGTCTCTTGATTCTGGTCCTGCTGTCTCTCATGTCGCATGTGGGGGTCTCTCTGCCAGCATCTCAGGTCAAGGACACGCTCTACTCCAGTTTCCACATTTGAAGTATCTGTCAGAGCAGCACTCCACTCTCTCAGTACCATATTCTGTTCTGGTTACTTAGTGCCACTCTGACAAGAATATACCACACATGGGACGCTTGAACAAACAGGAGTTTATTCTCTTACAGTTTGGAGGCTTTAAGTCCAAGTTCAGAGTACCAGGCTCTAGGGACTGGGTGAAAGCCCCTCAACCTTGGTTTCAGCTCTGTCTCCTGCTGCCGGCCCACTGGAACTAGAGGCTTTTCTTCACTCAGACGGCTGCTGGCTGCTGAGGCTGACAAGTAAAAAGGCATAGTCTTGATGTTACCAAACCACATGGCAGGCCATTAATTCAAGTCCATTCAAAGTCCCAAGGTCAGCAGATTATGGCAGGCAGCTGAACAATGACACTGCTACATGCAGGGTCCAGGCGTGCCATAAGCTAGAGACTATTCCCAAAGCTGTTTCTTATATAAGGGAAGCAGACCACATACTCAAAGCAGCTACTCAGCTGCTCCAATAGATTCCACCGTAGAGTTAATTACCAATCTCACCATGGGGAATTACTAACTACATTCAGCTGCCCAGCCACTCGACCAGGCCCAGCCAAATTGACACACAAAGTTATCCACTACACAGGGTAACCTCAAAGAAAAATGACAAACCTTCACATCAGAATGAAAAAGAGGACCAGCACTAATATTTAGCACATACTAAAACATAGCTCTGGTAGCATAGTGGCTAAAAGCACTTGACTGCTAACCAGAAGGCTGGGGGTTCAAACCCACCAGCCACTCCTCGGAAGGAAGGTTGGGCAATCCTACTTCCATAGTGATACTGCCTCGGAAACCCAAGGAGGGGTCGCTATGAGTCGGGGCCGACTCGATGGCACATAACAACAACAACAACAACAAAACATAGCAGCAAAGGAAGTGATAACACGATTCATAAACAAAACAAACTCAACACAGAACATTATATGGGACAAAGAATTCAACACCACAAAAAAGCACATAACAAAATGACAGCAACAAATTTGTACTTGTCAATAATGCCATATCTGGCAAGGGACTTATTTCTAAGATTTAAAGAAAACTCCAGCACCTCAACAGCAAAGGGATTAACAATCCAATTGAAAAATGGGCAGAAGACATAAATAGACATTTCACCAAGGAGGATATTCAGGCAGCCACCAAATACATGAAGAGATGCTCATGATCATTGGCCATCAGAGAGATGCAAATCAAAACAACATGAGATACCATATCACCCTAGCACTGATGGCAAGGTTCAGTGAGATAGAAAATAACAGATGCTGGCGGGGATGTGGAGAGATTGGGACTCTCATACACTGCTGGTGGAACTGTGAAGTGATACAGCCACTGTGGAAAGCAGTATGGCAATTCCTTAGAAAGCTGGAATTAGAGATACCCTTTGACCCAGCAATCCCAATACTAGGTATATATCCTAGAGAAATAAGAGCTAGGACAGTAACAGATACATGCACACCCATGTTCATCGCAGCACTATTAACAATAGCAAAAAGATGGAAACAACCTAAGTGCCCATCAACAGAAGAATGGGTAAGCAAACTATGGTACATACACATAATGGAATACTATGCAACACTGAAGAATCATGTAGAGTTACCAAAACACTACATAACATGGATGAACTTGGAGGACATTATACTGAGTGAAATAAGTTAGTCATAGAAGGACAAATATAGTATTAGTTTATTGTTGTGGAAGGTCAAGGAAAGGTTTATATATGGAAAGAAACTTTCTGTGTTGGTTACCAGGAGTGGGAAGGGAGGGGAGGGAACACTGCAAAAAAAAAAAAAAAAAATGCACTGATCTGTGTCACTTTAGTTTTGTGTATTTCACTGTACATAAATTATATTTCAATAAAATGCATTTTAAAAAAATAGTAGCCTAGGGAACCCTAACGAGAAGTTCATTTCTGTCCTATAGGGTCGCTATGAGTCAGAATTGACTTGATGGCACACACCAGCAATAGAATTGCAAAAACTTTCAGAGGTGATTTTCTTGGCTGGTTGAAAACAGTAGCACAATCGTGTTCATTCAGGTGACATCTGAATATCCATGGACCCATAAGGTTATAATGGAGTTCAGAAATTCTGATCAGAGAATGAGATGTAACAAACACAACAGTTTCCCGAACATAACACGTGCATCACATCTCTTGTATACAAAGCTATTGCACTGCCAGGCATATAATGGTATATAATGGTATAGTATGTATATAACCTATAATATATACATCTTGATAGTCATGATAAATGCCTATGTCACTGGTTTATATGTGTACTGTACTGTACATTCTGTCTAAAAAGACTACCTTGTAACAGTGTATGCTTAGACTCATAGACAGCAGCATCCACCCTCATGTATTGTGAGTCTCTTGAGTGTTGTAGCCTTATCTCTCCATTTAATTTTCTTTTGAAAATATTAGCATGAAATGCACAATGACTCCCAAACAGCAAAACCAGTGCTAGTGATAGCAGCAGCAGGAAGGAAAGAAGTGTTGATTTGGAAGTGTAACAGGAACTTACTAAATACCACAAATGTGAAAAATGAGTGAATGCTACTGTTCTCAGTTAGGCATGTTGTGCTCAGCAGTCTTGATGAGCCTCAAAAACAAAAACAAAAAATTATCCAAGCTGTTAAAGAATCAGCTCCACTGAAAGCTATAAGACTAACAAAAATGTGAGAGGAACTTATATGAGATATGGAAAAATTGCCAGTGACTTGAATTGAGGACCAACCACAAAAGTGAATCACTCTCAGCACATTGCTAATAACTGCTAAGGCACAAAGCTTGTTCAAGATGCTTAAAGAAAAAGCAGGACCAGACTTATGATAAATCAAAATCCAAATCATATAACTTACTGTTTCCAGAACATACTGTGTATATTAAGTGACCAACACATGACTGTAATGTAAACTCTGTTTCTCTTATTTTTGAACTTTGAGAAACCCCGTGTAAAAGAGATAAAGATGCGCTTGGCTGGTGAGTCACATATTAAATATTTATATCCTTCCAGATGCAAATTAAGAAACGAAAGAAATTACCTAGTAATTAATTTGTTTTTTAAAGACTGAGAAACTTTGTCAGTTGTTTATATTTTTTTCCTCCCAATTTACCTGTTAAGTGTGGAATGCACTGGAAAGAAGGAAAACGTATTGACTTCTAATTAAACCCCTGGGACTAATGCATACCTAAATTATACCTATACTTCTACCCTTTTCCCCAGGGATGAACCAATCCAAACACTATGTGGTCAGCATTATAAAATGTGCTCTGAAAAGTACTCTGTCCCAGAGAAAAACAAAACAAAACTGAAAAAAAAACCACATAAATGCTTTATTTTAAGCCCTCCATTCATACATAAGCATGGCCTTGGTTAAAATAAACTTTTATAGTTTTATTATTATCAAATAATGAACTAATCAAGGAGCTCTGGTGGGGTAGGGATTAGGGCATTTGGCTGCTAACCAAAAGGTTGGCAGTTCAAACCCACCAGCAGCTTTGCAGAAGAAACATGAGGCAGTCTGCTTCCGTAAAGGTTTACAGCCTTGGAAACCCAGTGGGGTCACTATAAGTCACAGTCTACTCAATGGCAGTGAGTTTAGTTTTGTTTTTGGAATGAACTAATCTCGGGTAAATAGTCGATCCAAAATAACAGGGAGATAAATAAGCTCATTAAAATGCACACATACCTATAAGCACACACACAAATACATATAAATTTTTCTTGGGTTTTTACTTTCATCACAAAGACACCCTATTTGCTTGTGACATATTATGGAGTTTTGATCATGTTTTTCCCCAGTCAGCACTTCTTTCTCAGTGTATTTAATGGTGACTGTATTTATTTCTGACCTGAATGGACTGTAGTAAGTACACTATGAGTATTTCCTTTGCAGGAAATATTGTGATTGTCATGCCATTTGCTTATAAAAACACACCCATAAATAGCCTCTTAATAACAACAACAACAAAAAAAGATTTAAAGAACTTTCATTTCATTTATTGTTAGAGAAATATGAAAACACTATAGTTAAGCAAATTTTTTTCTAGAAGGACATACAAACAATAACATTAATGGGGCTTACAGAGTGTTAGTAGTGTTTATGGCTATAAAACAAAACAAACAGAAAAGAATAACAAAACATTAAAGCCAGAATTGCCTCTCAAATATGTTCTTATTTATGTCATATATGAAGCATCATTGTAGCAAAATTATTTTAATACAGATAATAAATGCCTAGGCTTCCATTCTAATGCTTGTTAAATGAAATACCACAGTGGACTAGAATAACTCATACTTTTCTCTTTTTTGAATGACTCAAATGTTGTAAGTCTTAGGAAATTTATATTTGCAATCTAGGCAGTCTGATTTGGAGTCTGACTCCCCTAAGACCTCAGTGACACAGCAATCAGGTGTTAGCTACAACTTGTCCCTTTCAGTGAGAAGGGAGGGAGGAGGAGAGCTGGGGGAGGGAGAGGCAGGAACAGAAGGGCTCCTGTCACCAGATGGATAGCAGGATTTGGGTTCTGTTTACATGCCATTGGATTGTTCCATCAAAATGTGAGTTCTGTTTTCTTTTATTTTCCTAGTGACAGAGCAGCAAGATACTATTATTACTGGCACCTGAGAAAACAAGTTCTTCATTCTCAGTGTGTGCTCCGAGAAGAGGCCTACTTCCTGCTGGCAGCTTTTGCCCTTCAGGCTGATCTTGGGAACTTCAAAAGGAATAAGCACTATGGAAAATACTTTGAGCCAGAGGCTTACTTCCCATCTTGGGTAGGCACTGTTTTCAAATTCTAAAGAGTGTTGTCTCTAGTACATTTCTAATGCATTGTGCTGCTACTCATGCTGCTTCAGGACATGGGAACCCAGATGTTTTGTGGCCAGTAAAACCTTTCATGAGGTACAAATGTAAATTTAACACGTGACAGCATGGTAGACATGGTGTCTTGTACACTTTTGCTGCTTAATGGGGAAGAAGACTTCTAACTAACCTAAACATGGTGGCAGAACAAGGACTTTTTTGGCTTTCTTCAGCATTTACATGGCCTTGGCCTTTCTTATCTACTGTTATTGGAGTAACATTTTCCATGTTTCAGGGGAGAAAAACATTACTCTTTGAAAGATGAGATCATTCATAGCTTTTTTTTACTCTGAGAAAACAAATATAAGTACATAAACTTTTGGCTCTGACCACCATCACCTTCACTCCCAGAAGAACGACCGCTTTACTTCAGCAAGAAAACTTAAGTTATTTCAACATGAACTGTCTGAACTAACTTTTTCCACCCTACTCTGCCTATATGTGTTCCCATCATTATCATCTCACTTGGTCTCATAGAAGGAGAGGCCCTGCCTTTCTTGGTTCCATCCTTCTGCCTTCCTCCAGGTCTCTGCTGTATTTTTGTATCTCTTCTGTGTCTTCTACCTCTCTGTTGTT